TCCCTGTACCACAAGTGGTGGCATCAAGGGCCGAACGTCACTTTCATCCTGCCAACAGGACACTTGCATCCATCCTTTCTAGCCATGAGAGAAAGCCACAAAATTGAGCCCTGAAGTGTTTTGTTTCATTCAGAGTGAGCGCTCAGCAGCACACCTCTGGCCAGCATGAGCCATGCGTGCACCACAGCCATGAGTGGGGAGCACTCAGGGGAGGGGGTGTTGTGGTTTTTTATTGGGGTTAGTAAATACCTTTCAGGTCACCATAGCTAAGCCACCTTCCATATCCATTTTGGAGAGAGAAGTTGGAGGTGGAATTCGAGTTTCCATTTTGTTCCAAGAGGAAAGCTATGCACTGTGGTCAAGAATAGTACTTACCTGAACCTCTGTCTTCAATCAACTGAAGCAATTTGGGGTTGATGGCTTGATTAGCCTCACGAAGCACAGAGATGAGGTCATTTACTTGCTTAATATTGTTAGGAGTAAAGAATGTGTATGCTGTGCCTGTTTTGGTACTGCGGGCAGTTCGTCCAATTCGGTGGATATAGTCCTCTGAGGAGTTAGGGTAGTCATAATTGATGACAAATTTCACATCTTCCACATCTGTAAAGTGTTGCAGTGTGGCAAAAAGCAAGGTACGAAGTTTTGCACACCACAACAGCCAAATCGAAGATAAACATTAGACAATAGTACTTTAAAGGAAATAACGGCTGCAAAGAACAGTGTTAGAATTATCCATTTCTGCATGAGTATTGTGGAAGAGAAAGTTATGCACACTCCATCTGTTCCCGTCTCATCACCCACCCTGTGATCCAAAACCTTACCATAAAGGAGTATGCATTTGCTTGTCATTCCCAACTCAAGAGTCCCCTTTACAAATCATCAAGTGACATCTGAATGCTTCTTGCAGTAGGGCCACTAAAGCTCACAGCAGCCTCTTCATGTGCTCATTTGAGGACCTTAGAGTAAAAACATACAAGGTCCTTCACATACACACTCATTAGAAGCTCAAAAAAAAGGGGCCACACTGCTCGTCTTGCCAAGACCTTTGAACCGCAGCTGCAAGAAAAACATACCTGTCCCCCCAAAGTCACCAAGTTGTTTTTATGCACTGTGTCTCGTCTAGGCAAGCGCTTCCAAGAAGCCAGGGTTCACTTGAGAATGTGTCTCTCTCTGGCAGGTCTCGACATGACGACTATGTATAGGTGGAGGAACTTCGACTTTCAAAGGCATTTGAAAAGCCATTGCTTTCCTGCCCCACTTGCTAAAGTGAGAGGTGGACTTTTTCTCAGATTTCATGTGCCAGTACTCACCAATTTGTACAAGGCTTAGTACATTTTAAAGCTGCTCTCTCCATTTCATGGTTGAAAAAAAATTTCATTGAACATTGTAATTGTTTTCTTCGACATTTCAGCAAACTCACTGAAATTCAAAGACCCACAGATCACAGCAGACAGTATGCACAAAACTAACAGTACTGCACCATGGCAAATCATGCAAAGCATGGAGAGAAGAGAAATACCAGGGGCAAAGTGAACTGTGAATGAGACTGCTTATTTCATGAGAGAACAGTTTATGAGGTAGTAGTTTAAAGGATGATCTTTGCCTTTTGAAGATTACTGGCACACAATGCTCTCAGCTTTCACCTCTCTATTTGACTGGAAGCAGCCAGCCGATCATTTCCACTAGTCCTCCATCCCCCTCGAGTCCTCCGATTGTCATGCCTAGGCCTTGCCACAAAGACTGCACCTTTATGTGAAGAAAACTTAGAAAAACGCAGAGGTTAAAGAAAGCAATAGACTTTCTTTAAATAGCTTTGGGCAACTGGCATTACGAGTTGTACTAACCTAGACCTCTGGATGCAACATCTGTAGCAATCAGGATTGGTGCTTTTCCATGTTTGAATTCTGTAACACAAATAACTCCTTAGTTTCTTCATTAAGTAGCATACCTCGTACACTTGTAGAAATTGCTGAAATACGCACCATTTAGAACCCAGTCCCTCTCCTGCTGACTTTTATCACCATGAATACCCATTGCTGGCCACCTGAAAATACAGAACTTGATTGACCCCAGACCATTCCTTGAGTAGTTTCGTTAGTCAAAGAAAGGGCTACTGGCAAATTCCAAACAGCTTTTAGTTTTTCACATTTTAACTGGTATCTAGTGTCACTGTATTTAACAGTTTTGACAATATGGAGTTGCTCACAAAGAATCAAGAACATGATCAGTCTACTCAGATGGCTCATTCAAGTTCAAGCTATTAAACTCACCCATCTCTCCTCATTTTTCTAGTAAGATCATCACATCTTCTTTTGGTTTCCACAAAAACAATTGTTTTATTTTCCTTCTCACTCATTATTTCCTCCATCAAACGAATCAGCCTATTATGAAGAGATAATGGTTAGAGTTGGAATTGATTTGTACTGTGCAAGTTTAGTTTTATCAGTCTGTTTTTGACTTCAATGGTTTCAGGCTAGTGTCAAGAAATCCATCAAGACAAATTCATTTCACAGTTCATAAACTAATTAACCATCAAAAAAACATACTGAATGCTTTTCCCCCCCACTTACTACTTACTTGTCGTCTTTCTCTACATCGTGACACACATCCACAATCTGAAGAATGTTGTGGTTTGCGCTTAGTTCTAACGCACCGATGTTGATGTGTACATATTCTTTCAAAAAGTCTTCAGCCAGCTGCCTTACTTCCTTTGGCCACGTGGCACTCCACATCAGAGTTTGCCTGTCAGGCTGGAGGAGGAGATTAGATCAGTACAAGATCAATATATAGTTAAGTCAAACAGCCAGTCAAAAAAAAATCTACCCAGACAAATCTGACAAAGTTAACTGCACTGCTCTTGCTTTTAGTAAGCATAGTGGCATTTGTTTCTGGAATAGTGATAAATGCATGAACCATTTATACTCACTCTTATTTGATCCACAATTTTTCTGATCTGAGGTTCAAATCCCATGTCAAGCATCCTGTCAGCTTCATCGAGGACAAGGTAAGTACACCTCCTGAGATTAGTCTTTCCAGCTTCTAAGAAGTCTATAAGCCTTCCGGGTGTTGCAATGCAGATTTCCACACCTAAAAAACAGCAGTAAAGTCAGATGAAGTGGTTTTCGCATCACTTCATACAGAGATGCATCAAGGCTTATCCATACCTCTTTCTAAGTCACGAATTTGTGGTCCCTTTGGAGCACCTCCATAGATACAAGTAGACTTCAAACGACATGCTCTGCTATATTCAGCAGCTACCTGCTGCACTTGTTGAGCCAGTTCACGAGTTGGTGCCAGCACAAGACACTAGAAATAAGATGCCCAGCTTTTAGTTCAATACCTGTTTGGAGCTTCTAATCTAGCACTAGTTTTAAATGGAAAGGTTGCCATATATTCCTTCAGTGCCAGAATGACTGAAGTGGATTTAAGTAGCCTAGACCAGTAAACTAAATTACCTAGCATCTCAATTACCACCACTGACCTATGCTGTGTGGTAAGAGATCTGGAAATTGCTATCCCCTGAAAGCTATTGACTTCCAAACCAGGACATCTAGCTCTGTTCCGTAAAATTTTAAGGACAAGCTAATCAGAGCCTATGGAATGTTCTTGGGAGACTACCAAAACATGGAACCACTTTAGTCATACAGAGAAACACAATACAGCTATGCGCTCTTACGAGCGTGAACAATTAGACTGTAAAAAAATCTCATTCTCTCAGAATTAAAATCTACTTTCATGTAAGGATACTCACAATAGGTCCATCTCCTCGCTCCAGGAATGGCTGATGATTTATATGCACAATAGCAGGCAACAAGTACTGTTTAGAAGAAAGAAAAATCTCATTACAGTCTCTTCCCACAACTATTCAGCCTACACTAAGCCAGGCCATACTTTCACTGCTGAAATCCAGCAGTATTCCAGGTTACAATCGAAACTTACAGACAGTGTTTTCCCTGATCCAGTCTGTGCCACTCCAACCATATCCAATCCACTCAATGCAACAGGCCAACCTTGTGCTTGAATAGCAGTTGGTTCAGTGAAGTTCTGCCTCTGAATCACTTCCATAACATTCGCTTGAAGAGAAAATTGAAACTTTTAACTTAAGACTTTGTCTTAGATCAAGCCTGGAAGAATGACCAGTATGCTAGCCTTCACTTACCAGGAAAGTTAGCTTCATAGAAGTTTATAATCGGTTTTGGACAGTTATGGCCCCTAACTGTGACTTCTTTGCTTGATCTGTACTGTTCAACTTCTTGCTGCAAGGTAAAAAAACACCCCACACATTACTGGAAATAATCTTTGATACCAGAGTTATCTTTTAAGTTACCCCATCATGCCGGTTGGGCCCCATGACCCTCAGCATGTTTGCACTTATTTGTTTACTTTTGCTTGAGTTGGATAGGGTACATACCACAGTACGTCTAACTACATCAGGATGTTCTTGATAGAAGTTCTTCTCAAATTTGGGCAGCTCATCTAAATTCCATTTCTTTTTTGTAAGTTTTTCCCCAGGGTTTCCAAATTTCTTCCCAGAGAGAGGTCCACCTCTACTTCCTCCAAAACGGGGGGCTCCAAACCTAGAGAAGATGATAACAGAATCCAAGACAAATGTTTTGGTCTTCCTTTTATACAGCTTAACCGCTACCTCTGCGGTCCCTCCTGTAACTTTACAATTCAGATTTACAAACCCAGGCTCTCAAAACTTTAAAACACATACTTAAGTTGCAGATGCTACAATCTGCCTAGCTACAACTCACATTGAGAAGCTAAGGTAACACATCTTTGCAGTTTCCACGAAATGAAATCGAAAGGCCTATTAGCACGTTACAACATGGGCAAAGGAAGGACGTTAAAACCTTTGCATTACCCCGTGATCAAAATGGTTTCCTACCCAACTGACACTCCCATTGTGTGTCACCCTGCAGAAAGCAGGCAGGGGCGGTTATGAAACCTTCGTGTAACTCTCCCGTAAACCGTTCCTTGTCCCCCAAGAGACAGATTTCTCTCGATAACGATGTTTCACGAGGCCATGCGTTACACGTTCGCACTGTCGGTTCGGTCCCTCTGTTCAGAAAAGGCTCATCTCGGACGCCTGTCCCGGCAGCCCCGAGGCGCAGCTCGAAGCGACGCTCCGCCGCGCCCC